TGAAAGAGTGAACTTTTGGCTTCAAATGATTTGGGTAATAGCTGTGAGAACTTTTTGATATATTTCTGGATGCCCAAGCAACAGTAAGCAATTGATTGGATGATGGAGATGAGGATGCCTTTTCTTTTCTAATGCAACATAAGAAGACCGTACATGGTCGCTAATATATGGAGAAACTTGATGGCTTTAAGAGAATAGGTGCAAAATTTGAATCTTATTCAGGAGTCAGTCAACATAACATAGAAAAGGGAGGGGGAGAGGGAATTAAAAGAAATAGAGCTAAATTATTACTCAGTTATGTGTGTTTGTGTTTATGTGGATCTTGCTTCACATTGTGCCTGTTCCTGGCCCAGCCTATTTGCTGATACCAGTTAAGCTACCTTAATTTATATTGATTGAAAAATGCATTTACTGACCTTGAAAATGCCATACATTACATTTGGAAAAGAGATATGAGGTAGGAAAATCAATCCTATTACAGATGAAATATAACTGTCATTACCTACAAAATATATTTGTTTTGCCATAATTTCCTGGCAGATCTCTAGCTGCTTGTGAACTGCTAAACAACGCTGGGTACAGAAACCTTTTTTGGGTCCAAGGGGGATTTGAGGCTGCTGAAGAAGAGGTATATGCATTTCCTATGTGAAGTTGAATACTCCCTTTCATTCTCATGCATCATGTTCTCATTTTATTTTATTTTATTATTTTTTTGGCTCATCAAGTAAAGAAATTGAACCAGTTTAATGATTCTGAACTAGGATTTTGTCAGTGAAGGTCCTCAGCCACTTAAGTTTGCTGGAATTGGTGGAGTTTCGGAATTCCTGGGGTTTGTCTCCTCTTGACTACCATCTAGTATTTAACTTCCTGGGGAAAAGTTTGATTTTCTTCTCTCCTTGTAAACATACCTGACAGCCCTGATACAGTACACGAAGAAAATGCCGTGGTATCATGCAATACATACATTTAGTCCATGATTCTTTTCATGCTCAAATATGTTGAAGATGTATCTATGCCTTTCCATGATCATGCATGGGTAAATTCCTGTAAACGCCTGTTGGTTAAATTGGCATGGTTACTTTGATCCATGTAATGGTAACGCTTGTCTCCTAGCAGGTAGGCATCACAATCAGTTTTTGAACCATATGAGTTATAGTTATGTTCTGTAACTAACTGTGTCCTTGTAACTTTGATTATATCTGCTTGTCGACAGGGTTCCAATCTGGACTTTTTTTTTCTTTTTAATTGCCTAGGATGCACTGTAGGTTGACAAAAGAATGTCTTTGGCCATATAATATTTGAAACTGTTGTCATATGTTTGATCTTTCCGTACTTTGAATTTATTTCTGATTTCCGTGTGATTTGCAGTTGGACTGATCAACAAAGGGCTGCTGCTGCCAAAGAAGGTTGCGGTTATCGATTATTGTTCTCTGCTCGTCTGGTAATCGTGGTGTTTTCCTGTTCTTCTATAAAATCATCTGTGAAGTCCAGCTGTCAGATTAGTAAAATTAATGTCTTTGTTTCTGGCATAGGTTGGAGTCTTTCTTGTTGCGGATGCCTTGTTTATTGGTGCTCAGCAAGTAGGTCACTATATTCAGGATATAAGAGCACATTGAGTTGAGCTTGAAGGCACTTGATTATTTCACCAGCGAGCATGTTTTTGCGTTGTTAGTGACAACAGAGACCTGGGATTGCATGGGATCCAATTTTGAAGCCAAGATTAGTGTAGAATGCCAAGTACATACCTCCATCTCATGTCTTTAATCTTCAATCATGTTGTATCTAGGCATGACTTTCATCCATGTGCTATGATGTATATGCTCTGAATTATGTCTCGCTATAGTCAATTATCCAAGAACATTGCTCTACTCCATATTTATAGAGTTGATAGTTCTTCATATAGCTTTATTTCTCAATGTCATGGATGTTTTTTCCTTCTCTTCTGAAAGGCTAGGCTATGCAACCGCATGATTCGCACTGAAAGCTTCTTATCTCTCCTCCACCTTGATCCTTTTACCATTATAGAAATTTTTTGTAGTTCAGTTAATTGGGGATGGCTTCTCCCAGATTAAGACAAGATTGTATTGCATCGGCAAAACCTCTAAATCTAACTGAAAATGAAGGAGTTCTGTTGCTGGATTGATGGAGATATTGGAGAGAGAATGATTTATGATCCCATTCTCACCTCCCACACATCCACCCCCCCCCCCCCCTCTCCCCTTCTTTCATTTGCAGCTAAATTTTTCAATTTTTATTTATTTAATTTTTATCATGTGACAGTGTTATATGTTCTGATATGTGTCATAATGAAGTTAAATGAAGAAAACAATAGTAGTACTAATAATAATAATAATAATAATAATATAAAATGAATAAAAAGGGAATGAAAGGACCACATTAAAATATAAGAATAGAAAGGCAATATTAATCCCGTCCAAGTTCCAATAGCAAGGACTAGGGCAGGAATCAAGTAATACCCAAGTTCTGCTTTCTTTCTATAAGCAAACCATAACTGTCAACTTTTTATTTGGAAAGAAAATCGTATTTTCCAGTTGACTGACTAATAAAATCTTGACACTTGCGTTAGCTGAAGTGTGGTTTGGCGATGACGTGAAGGGGAACTGTCCTGTGCATTGAAATGCCAAAAGCTTCTGTATTATCTATATCCTGAGCTTTGATACCAGGAGGAAGCTCCCAATCAAAGCTGTGGAGGAGTTGAGCTAAAGCGATTTCAACAGTTGCTGTTCCAAAGGTGATAGCTGGGCAGCTTCTTCTACCAGCTCCAAATGGTATCAGCTCAAATTCTTGCCCCTTGAAGTCTATACTGCTGCCCATAAATCTTTCCGGATCAAATGTTTCAGGATTTTCCCACAGTTCTGGATCCCTCCCCATTCCCCAGACATTGACATAAATCCTTGTTTTAGCTGGAATGTTGTACCCATCAATGATAACATCTTCTAAAGATTCTCTCGGGAGTAAAACGGGAACAGGAGGATGTAACCGAAAGATCTCTTTGATAACAGCTTTCATGTAGTTCAGCCGGGGCAGATCACTCTCTTGCACAACCCTTCTGTCTCCCACAACACCTCGTACTTCAGCTTGTGCTTTCTCCATGACTTTAGGATTCATGATAAGCTCTGTAATTGTCCAATCAAGGGTTATGAAGGTTGTATCAGTTCCTGCAGCAAACATGTCCTGCAACAACAGAACAATAATGATATTAGCAAATGACTCATCTGCAAGTAATTTGAAGGAATAAATAAACCAGTGAAATCTTCACTGACCAAGATGACAGCTTTAATGTTATCCATGGTGAGAGGCATTTCAGAAGATCCATCCTTCTGAATATCAAGTAGAACGTCGACAAGGTCCTTCTTCTCCTCTTGTTTCACCTCAGAATTGCGGTGCTCAGTTATTACCTCGTCGAAAAAATGATCAAACCGCCTGAAGGTGTACTGGAGTTTCGATTTCATTCCAGTTAGACTGTGCACAAACTCCATTGAAGGAAAATAGTCTCCAAGGCTGAATCCTCCAAGCAACGCTTGATAATCGTCAAGCATCTTTTGGAACCCGTGCCGATCATACTCTCCTCCTCCAGAGAAATCCCTTCCTAGAGCAACCCGACAGAGGACATCATTGGCATATAGTCCAATCATCTTGCTTAGATTGGTGGTGCCAGGATAAGATTCTGCAATCCGACGAATCAAGCGAGCAACTTCTTCTTCTCTAACATAGCTGTACCACTGGACACGCTTAGCACTAAGTAGCTCAAGTATGCAAACTTTCCTTATATTCCTCCAGTAAGCACCATAAGGAGCAAAGGCAATGTCAGTGCAACCATAGAACAAGTGCTTGGCTGAGAAGAGCTGAGGACGGCTAGAGAGTACAAGATCATGGGTTTTGAGGACTTCCTTTGCCAATCTAACTGATGAAATCACCACAGTTGGGATCTCCCCAAGTTGTAAAAATATAATCGGACCATACTTCTTGGCAAGTCCTCGGAGAGATATGTGAGGCATGTTACCAAGCTGGTGGAGATTGCCAATGATTGGCAACTTTGCAGGGGTTGGTGGGAGATTGAGCTTTCTTTTTTAAGCTTCTCCTTCATTAGGAACTTGAGCACTACTCCGACAAAAATGGTTACAAAGAACAAGGTAGGTTTGGAGCATTCTTTCAGCCATTGTAGAATAGCCATGAGTGGATCTTTCCCCTCGACTGAAATTAAAGCACGGACAAACCCCTGTATAGGAAGTGATGTGACCGAAATTTAAGTTCGAGTTTTGTAAGTAAGATCGAAACAAATCCTCGAAAGTATGCAGAGTTGATGGACCATGTGCTCTTAGAATGCTTATCTCGTATCGGAACTTGAATAAAGTGGTTGAGATTTGGATGGTGGAGCCACTGGACTAGATGTTAAACAAAGAAAAAAAATCCAAATGAATCAAGCCTAAGCCTATTAAACGTCAAAAAGGTTAGGTTCTTTTGTAGCCTTCTCATGCGTCTACACTGTTTCTGGTCTTTCGAAGAGGCGGCCCCATTAGCGATGGTAACTTGGCCATTCTTGTACACACAGTCTTCAGCGAAATTGATGCGCTTAAATGCATGGATAGGCTCATCACATAGCCGACAGCTGTGCGGATGACAATTATTTTGCTTGCTTTTAGAAAAGTCTGTATTCATTTACTCTTAATTAAATAAAAAATTAATGGTTGATTTTTTAAAATTTTAATACTTAATTAAATAAAAAATATAAATTAATAAAAAAATAGAAAGAAAAAAGAATGTAAAGTATCCGTGTAGTAGATTAAAATTTTTATTTTAAAATATTAGAAATTAAAATAAAACAATTTTAAAATTTTAAAAAATTAAATAAAAAACTTAAATTGATGAAAAAAACAAGAGAAAAAGAAAAAAGAAAAAACATGTATAGTGAAACTTATTTTTTTTTTAAAAAAATAAAATGCTTGCTAGCATGAATAAGTAAAACTAAACTACTTTAAAAAAAAAAAAAAAAAAAAAAAACCCACCTTGCTTGTAAAAAGTTGAAATAAGGCCGGGAAGAAAAAAGATAAAAAAGAAAAAGAAAACACTGTTCTTTAACAATGGAATAAATAGTAAGAGTGAACAGTAAAAAAGTTTTGTGTTTTAAAGAATTCTTAGTAACTAAAGTGGCCCAGGATTCAAACATGTTATAAGTGTGATATCTTCTTGCTCCATCCAATTGCAAATTTCTAGCAGCATACCATGACCTTCTTCATCCAATAAGGTTATTAATGGCGAGAGAGATTGATCTATTTGATATAGAAAGAAAGAAATAATGGTTAGGAAACGAGGCGATAAAGTGGAAAGGAGTAATCTTGAAAGCAAAAAATGGACGCGTTTTGGGTTTAGCTTTTTCAGTGCATCTGATTGAATATTAGAAGGTCATCGGAAAACATAATTCACCCTTGGGAGAACAAGTTCTGTTTCAAAAGAGACGATATTATTTTGAGATCCTTATCGGTAATGGACATAAAGATCAAAACTACAATTATTCCTGTTGAAAGTAGAATATTTGGACACCGATTAAGCACAATGGTAACAGTAGGACCTCTACCCTCTAGAAAGAGTGAGGAGTTGCAATAGCAACAAGTGGGAATTTCCTACGGATCGCCAGTCCAGGAGCTTCTGTTACGTCTATGTCCTCTGGTTTTGCTCCACCAGGCACTGCCCAATCGAACCTATGCAAAAGACTTGCCAACGTAATCTCAATCAGGGCAGCAGCAAATAATGTTCCTGGACAGCCTCGTCTTCCAGCTCCGAAAGGAATCAATTGGAAGTCATTTCCTTTGAAATCTATGGCACTATCCAAGAACCTCTCTGGTCTAAATTCCTCTGGCTCTTCCCACGATGAAGGATCTCTCCCAATTGCCCAAGCATTGACCATTACTCTTGTTTTCGCTAAAACATCATAACCCTGAACTTTGACATCCACGGTTGATTGTCGCGGAATAAGCAATGGAATCGGAGGGTGTAAACGAAGAGATTCCTTGATAACTGCTTTCAAGTATAGCATTTTTCCTAAATCATCTTCTGTTACACTATGTTTGCTTCCAGTGATCCTTCTAATCTCATCCTGTGCTTTCTTCATGACTTTGGGGTGTTTTATCAGCTCTGTCATTGTCCATTCTAAGGCAGTAACTGTTGTATCAGTTCCTGCAACAAGCATATCCTACAAGAGGGTTTAAATAGGTCAGACATCCTAAATTATTGAACTTACTCTTTTCCATGCTAACGGAAAACAATATAAGAGAGATATCCCTTTGTATGTAAAAAGAAAATTGGAACTAGCATTAACATAGCAGATCGACAGATATATTCAAATTAGGCAAGTCAGTTTTCTTACCAGAATCATGGCTTTTATGCCATCTCTGCCTATAGCTATACCATCTGTGCGGTTCTTTTGGATCTCAAGCAGAACATCCATAAAGTTCATTTTATCCTCATTCCCACCTACCCTTTTTGCTTCAGATTCATCCACAACTTCATCAAGAAAGCTATCAAATTCTTTAAAAACCCGTTCCACTCTAGCATTCAAACCTGTCAGGTAATTTATCCAACCTAGCCATGGAATGAA